CTGCATATAGCGAGGTGACCCAGTGTGGCTTGAGGGTAAGATGAGAATTTGACCGCGACCAATATTACCCGGTCATTAAGGACATTGTCTCTTAGGAAGACGTACTTGTCCGCACGAAGCTCTTTCTGAGAACTTTTTTTTTCGGTTTTTAGTGGCAATTTAGCCAAAAGCAAAAACTGATTTGATAAGTATGGTTGAGTTCAGCAAACTACATAGGAATATTCTCAGAAAAGGTTGAATTTGTTTTTTCGTTTGACTCTTGCATTAGGTATTTTGTGTCACGTCTCTTGACGCAAGCCGCAAAACAAACCGTCACCGTAAATTTAAGTCGTGGACACTTAAGTATTCAATGGCCGGAGGCAGCGGATTTAGCCCTTGCTACGTCGGCGGCGGGGGGAGGGGGATAGTGATTCACGTGGCCGTGGCCGCATGGGGGTCAGCGTGGAAATATGCAAAAAAATTTAAGGTCATCGAGTCTGTCTGAAACAGGTGATACGGAGCGTAGGATAGACAGCTCGTAAAAGGAATTCCCTACAGCGGCGGACAGGCACGCGCTTTTGCGAACTATGCTATCGGCTAGCAAACCTGTGACTCTTGACGCCAGCCAATCAAAAACGGAATAGGAACCGCACCGAGCTATTAGATCTCTTTTATTAAGTATATAGATTGTTTAAGATAGATTGCCCATTCATTGGCGCATTGCAGAATCATGGTCTTTGCTCGTAGCTATCAGTACTCTGAATACAAACACACATATACACCTAAAACTAGGCTGGCACGTGGAGCAGGACTGCAGGACTGCAGCATTCCCAGAGAAAACTGACTTTGTAGGCGTGATCCAAACGAAGTAATAAAAGTGGAATTCGGCGGATGGTTTGCTATATGTGTGACGGCGACTACTTTGGAAACAGGAGCTACATCAGCCCCAGAGGCCACTGAACTTGTGAGGGTGACATTTGTTGACACAGACAGTGGAATACTGATGAGCTCCGTGGCCGTCACGGGTAAACGCGTATGATCAGAAACACCTCGTAGCAAATACTAAATTTGGTCAGAAGAACCTGTGCAGTAAAAATTAATGGTTTTCCCGGTAAACTGCTCGTGAGAGTCCGTAGGGCTTTGTGACTTATCCTCCGTGTGTAAAGCATATAATAATTAAATTTGAAATACCTGAACACCTCTTTGTTCTTTTCAGAAAGATCTGACAAGCAGGATAATTAATCGTCCGCATGGCAGTCAGGGACATTAATTGATTCTGTGAATTCTTAAAAAGATAAGGCCAGCTAGGACGCACATATTAGTATTTGTAGTCATGTGCAAAACCGAGTTCAATTGACTATTCTAATACCCGGCAACACCGCATGGGGATATTTGCCCTCTTGGAGACAAAGGATGAAGCTAACATCGGTAAAATAAAGGCAAACTTACTCGGCAAGCCAATTGATTTTCTGCTAGATATTGTTAACTGAAAGCTTCCGCGATGATGGATCAAGCGAATTCTCCGAAACAGGAATTTTAATTAAGCAGTTCCGGTAAGCAATCCCCCAGGCCCAAGTAATCCTTTAAATAGTCAAGTATTAGAAATTATATGCAAAGTAAACTTAAGTACAACATGTACTGCCGGAGCAACCAAATGTCGATCCTGCTGTTGGGAGCAATTGACAGACCTTAAATAGCAGGGATGAATACCGCAATTAATCAGAGAGCATCAATCCAACAATGCTTATACTCCCAGTCAAAACCTACAGGACAATGATCACTTAGCCTACTGCTTAGGGCGTCGAAGGTTTCCCAACGTGGTCGGATCCTCAACCTTCAGTTATTTAACTTAAGCAGAAATAGGAAGATGGAGGTATTTTTCTATCAGTTGTTTGTGGTGGAAAACAGTAGGTCCCATCTAATCATAATTCCGTCTCTACCCAAGGACGTCTAGAAGGAGTGCATTGTTATACTTTTCCATTTTCACTGAGATGTAAATTTTCAGTTATGAAAAATAAAGCAGATCTTCGGCGTCTTCATTGGTATCAACAACGGTGAATATATTATCCATATATTATCTATACAATGTTGTTATTTTATGTCTTTATTACACCTCCTACAATAGGTGACACTTAAAGTCTGTGAACGTTGATCCTAGTTGACATCCATTTCAACTCCTTCAATTTGTCTGTAGAATGGAAAATTAAACATAACTTGAACATTCGTGGTGCAAAGTAGCAACGATGGACGCAACAGTTCAGGCTACCTATGAGTTTTAGAAACACAGGCATCTATAAATTCAGAGGATGAAATGGCTAATATACGTTCGTTTTCGATAACTCTCAGCAGGCCTTTACGTTTATATGGAAATTAAGTAAATAAACGCTACGGGTTTGAAAAAAAATAGAAGATTGTCATGGCAGGGGGAATGGGGGGGGGAAAGGGGGTTAACACTTGGTCAGCGTTAGGGGGAACTGGTAGTCGGTTGAGGTGCTAAGCTGCTGGCTGTTGGATTAGCAGCTTTTGACCATGGTTAGTGCGGGGCAGCGACGAAGTCTTTTTGGGCGCACAAGACTGGTCGGCGTTATCTGATGGCGGCCGCTTCTGCCGTAGCCAACTAACGCGGTCACACTGTTTCATCTCGTTGTATACTTGTAAATATATACTTAACGTAAAATGTCATCATTATTTTGTCAGCCATTGTTTGGTGGTTATTGTCTACAATTATATCAAGACATCCTCTATAATGTAAGTGGATAGCAATTTTCGATTTGGCTTTGGTTCCTTAAAGAAGCTACTGTCGACGCAACTAGCACTTTGACGACATTGATTTCGTTCGAGCTGTAAGGTCAGACAGAAAATGCTAGACAATACATAGATTAAGCGTCATAACATTTTGATCCTAAATTTGCATTGCATTGTTTTATATATTTGTAGTACCACGTCGGCAGTTTCCCTCCGACAACAGGAAATTACATTGAGTAAACTGAATCACCTACCCCTACGTTGAAAACAGTCACAGCAGAGCATTCGGTATCCCTTGATACTAATTACGGTAATCCCCATTTTTTTCAGTCAACCACGTCTCGCTCAATGAAATTGACCGAAATGTATGTTCATGTTCCGGATTGTTTTAACTTAGCTAGGTTTTGACAACGATAAGGGCGCCATAAATAGTGTACTTATAGTTTACTTTCATTTATAACTATAATTTATTTTACTTTTCCGTTTAGTTTTGGTTTATCTTTTATCAACTTTTCAGTTGTTTTCAGCTTTGCAATTTTTTGTTAACTGTTAACTGTAGTTTGCCTTTGTTTGCTTAATTTAGTAACTATTTTAAATATCCAGCAACACCGCCTGCAGACAATCGTCATCATGAAGACAGAGAATGAAGATAAAATCGGTAATATAACGGCAATCTAAATGGAATTTCTGCTAGGACTGTGGGGTGGATGCCTTGGCTACGATTAACCAAACGACTATTTTGAAAGAAAGTTATTCTAATTAATCTGTTTCGATGAGCAACCCTTCTGTCCCAAGTTATTCTTTAAATCACCAATTGTTGGAAATTCTGCGTGGAGAACACTCCTTAAGCACAAATTTTACTGCCGGTGAAGCCAGCAGAGAGCAATTGGCAGATCTTA